GCGCCGCGGCACCCGCTGTACCGAGACGTCTCAGCGCGGGACGGTTACGGGCGAGCTCTCAGAACAGGTGCTGGAGGTGGACGGCGTTCCGTGGCACGTCCGTAACCTGCGACCGCGGTACGAAGCGTCCTCGGACAGCGGGGATGACAGTGAAGAGGCCGACGAATCGCCGCCACTGCTCGTTGGCTCCCCGCCGGCCGCACTGCGAGCTGAACATGACGCGCTGAACGGGGCGGCGCCCCCCGATGAGCCACAGACTGAGTCACACGGGATAGATGGGACGGTGCCGCCTGGCGAGGGGTCGGAACCGTTTTCGACGGAAGGGGAGCCGGCGGAAGCGGCAAATATCCCCCCGCCCCGTCACAGTGAGCGTGCCCGGCGACCGCCGCCGCCGTGCAGCTGCTGCACCCAGCCGGAGTGATGACTCTTACGTGAGCGGTGAGCACATGTGCGTTTGATATTGCATGATATTGTTTTGTTTGTTTGTATTGTTTGTATTATGTGTTTGCATTGCCGTATCGTGTGTTTGTATAATTGTATGTATGATTTTTGAAAATCAGGGGGAGGTGTGGCGTGATACCGGGGTCGTGGTATCCCGTCCCCGGCGCCGATGTTAGAGACGGTACCTGGTCCGGGCTGTACCGGGCCCCGGACTGTACCGGGCCTCACTGTCAGAGGCGGGACGACAGGGGGTCTGGGGACGGAAGGACCGGGTGGTCTCTCGCGCTGTGTGACTGGGAGTGTGCGGTGGCCCGTCTCGCGTGTGCAGTGGCCCGTTTCGCGCTATCGGACGAATACACTTACATCCAGCTATGGCTCGGTCACGCACTTCACTGTCTAATCCTGGGCCACTGAAGCCACATTTGCGTCCTTGAATCTTGAGACGGCTGACATACTGCTCAAACTTCTCATCCACCTTCATAGTCATCTTGTGGAACGTCATTCTCTCAGCAATCACATTTTTCTCTGGAGCTAAATAGCTTTTAAATCGTTGTACAGCCTCCTTGAAACAATCAGTCTCACCTGGCATCGCGACGGGTTGCAGTGACTCAAAAATGCTTTGATAATCTGGCCCCATCATGTGCAACAGGACAGCCTTCTTCCTTTCTGGGCCCGATATATCTGCTGCTATGAGATATATTTCGAGACTTCCGACCCACTTTTGAAAGTCATCACCTGCTACATATTCCTTAACACCCGGCAATCCAATTCCAGCCATGTTCTGCTCACTGTTCTTCTGTAATTCACTTTTGGCGCCTAGCCAGACCGCTGTCCGTCCCTCTCTTGTAAACAACTTTCACTGACCTTGGCCGCCAAACCACACAAACAGCTGACTGGTCAGCTGATTTCCTCTGACCGCTCTGACCAGTCGACCCGAGATCAGCTGTTTCACCTCACGAACAGCTGACTCGTCAGCTGATTCCCGATCACCAGCCGACCCGCAATCAGCTGTTTCGCCACGTCCTCACCACCGCCCTGTCCACATGGCACACCGCAAAAACTCAATTATTTCCCGTCGCCGGTATTTCTTCTCTTGTGTGGCCTTCCCTGCATTCCACCAACAGGCACGTAAAATCCGTTTCTTCTTCTCGTCGCCACGTGCAGTGTCTTTGCCTGTTCGGGTCGGTAGTCTGCGCGCCCAGCAGAGCCGTCCGTTCAGCACACGGTGTATTACACAACTGCCAGCCCCCCGCTCGTAACTCGGGGTTGGCCGGCACACGCACAACCGTACGGCAGCGCCACCGCTAGGTGTCGTGCCGTACTGACACAGATGTCGCGCGAGTCGCCATCGCGCCACAACACCTGGGGGGCTGGCAGTTGTGTAATACACCGTGTGCTGAACGGACGGCTCTGCTGGGCGCGCAGACTACCGACCCGAACAGGCAAAGACACTGCAAGGGCCCTCTGACATTAGCTGGGGGGGGGGGGGGCCTCTGACGCTAGCTCAAGGCCCTTTGACAATTTGACCAAATGGTTTAAGGCCTTCTGAGGGCCCCTTGAGGTCTTCTAAGGGCCCCTTGAGGCTTTTTGAGGGCCGCTTGACGCCAGCTGAGGACCGTTTGAGGCCTTCTGATGGCCATTTGGCGCCAGCTGAGGGCCCTCTGTCACCAGCTAAGGACCCTTTAGAGCCTTCGGAAAGCCATTTGACGCAAGGGCATGGCCCTCTGACGCCAGCACAGGGACCTTTGACACCCTTTAAGGCCTTCTGACGTCCGTTTGACGTTAGCTGAGGGCCCTTTGAGGCTATCTGAGGGCCCTTTAAAGCGCCATCTGAGAGTCCTTTGAGGTCATCTGAGGGCTCCTTAAGGCCATCTGAGGGCACTTTGACACCATCTAAGGGCCCTTTGACACCAGATAAGGACCCTATGACGCTAACTGAGGGCCCTTCGAGACCATCTGAGGGCCTTTTGAAACCATCTGAGGGCCCTTTAAGGCCACTTGAGGGCCCGTTGTACACGGTCTTTGGTGGTCTAAGGATTAGTTAGAGGCCCATTTGAGGCGGCCTTCGGCCGCCTCAAATGGGCCCCTTCCTTCGAGTTGGGCCCCCAACTCGAATGGGGGGGGGGCACGGGCCCGTGTGCCCCCCCCCCTTGTGTGCGCCCTTGTATGTTCGTCGCTCAGTCCGCTTACTACTTTAATAAATTAAGAAATACTGGAGTTGAACTAAACAGTATAAAATGTAAGTATAAATTAAGTTCCAATAATGGAAGTAATAATATGTAATAATGTGTAATAATAATATGTAATAACAATGTCCAATAATGTAAGTTCCAAAATGTAAGTTCCAATGTAAGTATAAAATAGTCGTTGATATGCCATGGTCTAAAACGTCTCGTAAGGTCAATAAATTAACTTTTCAAGGTCTCTTGCCTATCATTCCCAAAAATCGGAGCTGAAGCGAACACCGTGATATGCAGCATTGACTCACATTTATCCTACCCTCTTGCCGGCACCTGTCAACCGCAGTGCAAGGCTGCTCGGCGACCGGTAGAGAGAGGATTGATTTCCTTGACCTGACCAGCTGCGGACGGTGTGTGGGTGATTCCCAGGCCGCGGGTCACGGGTCAGCCGCGTAACAAGCTCGCGTCGTGACCTGATGAGCGACCCGGGGTCAGGCTGACACCTGCGTCAGCCCTGGTCCCACACCGGGCGCCGGGAAATGGTATGATATACTGCTTGTCATGCAGAGGTGCTACTTCGTACTGGAAATCTCGCCGATTTCCAGGTCGAATGTCGAAAATTTCCAAGAAGCCAACGCATAACTCGGGAACCAATAGAGCTACAGCGCCGCGGAAAAGCGCATTCGATAGCCCTATTAACGCCCTTTCTGAGTAATTTTCTCAGATTTCACCTAACGTCAACGGTTTTGCCTGCAGGGGGCAAAAACTGCAAAAATAGCCGATTTTTTCGGAAACAGTTTTTCTGCAATAACTTTGACCCAAGCCTTGTACGAGCTTACTTTTACCGGCATCGTGTTCCTTTCGTCAAGACGCATCGAATGAACTATAACTTGACCTTGAAAGGTCAACTTGAAAATTTGACCTCAGGTCAAGGTCACGACCTGACTGAAAAGGGTCATGTTGCATATCAGTCGATCCGTATCGTCGAGCTGAACACATCTAAGGCGTTTTCATCGCTCTAGTATGCCTCTATCAAAAGTTATTTGCGAAAAACTGTTAGATACCATTCGTGACCTAAGATGACCTCAGGGCATAAACAGGGGTCACGGACACCATTTTCATGTTCAGTGTGTCTAAACCACTTGTAATTCAGTGTTTGGGAGTGTTTATAATGTCTTTCGTTCAAAAGAGGCGCATCTCAATTTTCTCCCATTGACTTATAATGGGGAGGTCGCAAAATTGACCTGACCTTAGGTCATCGATATCAAAATTCTGAGATATAAATTTTGTACATGCTATTGCTCTTAGCAATCGCTGAAAGTTTCAAAGCGATCGGTCACTCGGTGTAGCTATGACAGACATTGAAACTTTTTATGAGGTGAGGTCACTTCAAGTGACCTGGTGACCTGACCTTGAATGACCTTGGTCTGAAATTTTCACAACATGTGTAGAATTGATGTATGATAAGGTGTACCAAAAACGGCGGCGCTCCGCGCCGCCGTTTTTGAGATATTCGCGAAAAACCACAAGGGGGGTGTTCAAACACCCCCCCCCAGCAGGGCGCGGGTTAAAGGGACTAAGAGTTGAGATAGCCAAAATGGGGTCCCTGGCTCACAATTACCGGTTTCGGCACTCACAACATCGAGAAATGCCTTAAATCGGAAATATTGAATTTCAAAATTGCAGCATTTTGATTCAGAGGGGCTAATGCATAGGATTACCCCTCTGAATGTGTGACGTCAGCGCAGATATCTAACGATTTTTAAATGTTTGACTAAAACGTTTTGTAGCACGCGGTGGTAGGTATATGCTGCTTTGCGCGCAACAAGTGCCGCACTTTCAGCTGCCAAACTATTGCTTCCAAATAAAGTCGCTAGGAACAGCGGAGATCCCAAAAAGTAAACAAAAGTAAAAGTCTAATATCTTGAAAACCGGTGAATATTTTTCGGTGAAATTTGGTAGATATTCGTTTTCGCTCTTTCTGAACCGAGCGACATCACTTTCATGCCAATTCATAAACTTTTTTGAAGGTGGGAGAGTCCCTTTAATCTGCATTTGAGACTTTGGGCGAGCTACATTTGTCCTGTGCAAATTTCGCCTACTTTCGTACTTACGGGTTTCCGAACGACCGTTCAGCGCTGGACGAGGCTTCTGAAGATACTCAGCCCTCAGTGGCGCCACCAAGGTCTGAGTTAGATGACGCTCCGGTCGTGTGGCCCGAAGCATATCTAGACGGCGGCACTGCCTGCCTTGCTGTGCAAGCATGCAGTGTGCATAGTGCGTTGCAAAGTGCATACGTGCAATTACAGCATTGGCACTGCTTCAAGCCAGCCGGAGCACTCGGATGCACCCTTTTAGACTCACAAGAAGGAAATATGACATGGTTATGGCCGTTTATTATATATGCTCAGTATTATATCATATCAACTCAGCGGTGCAATATATTCTTTTCATTGATATGCAATATGTATGTACAAGCATTCCCTCCAGCACAATGCAATAAGCTATGTCGATGTCGGAAGACATCACAGCTGAGAAGGTTCGCCGAATTCCCCGATCGTTCGGCACCCTCACGCCGACGCCTTGGCCTTGGCTTGCTTGTAGAGCTCGCCGAAGGACTTGGCGCCGTCATCATTCAACTCAGCGTAGCCAGGCATCTCGGCCTTGCAGGAAGCCAGCCAGGCGCGCAGTTTCGGGTACGGCATGAAGTCGGTCACCTCAGACGCCTGCCGGGGACGGAGAGAGAAGGACGGACGGGTCAGGCCGATCTTTGGCGTCTCATGTCTGTGTAAGGCCACTGTTTAGACGTCGGTTCACGTCTGTCTTATGTCAGCTTAGAAATGGCCTATGATGTCTGTTCAGGACCCTAAATGCTGTAGCGGATACTGAGGTCTATAGAATTGGAAGGGAGCTCAAGAGGGTGAGTTATGTATAAGCACATTCCATAGACCATACCTACATAATAACTTTAAGTGACATAAACAAATATGTAATTTGTGTTTCAATTCCAAGCGAAACCTTGCTGTAAACAAATCGTATTGCTTATTTCTCGAATCAGATGAACGCTCCTCCTATCATTCTAACCTCGATGGTTGCTATGGTTGAGGCCAGGGAGAAGTCTGCCACCGTCTGCTTGGGACCGGCGACGTACTGGTTGTCGCCGAAGAAGCCCTCCAGCCAGCCGAGAGCCTCGTTCAGCTTGAGGATGGCGTCTTCGTCCACTGGGCGGTTGCCGAACATAAGCGGAATCTGTGAGGGATGGTTCGAAGCGTTATATTGGCATGATATACCTAAGTTCCTATGTTGAAGATATTTCACACTGCAATCGTGCAATCGCAGCTATGTTTTTACTGGTTGGTGTTAAGGAGCCAAGAGCAAACGTCTTTTGTCCTTATAAAATTACAAAAACTCAAAGGAAAGTTCCATAAATCAAAAGCTTTCACGCAAGCATCTCATGCCTAATTGTCCGAGGCATGGCCATTAAAGCCTTCCATGTCTATCATTAAAAAATACACATCATGCTATGAATTCTCACAAACGGCAGACGCTTACGCACTGTGCATTTGGCGAAGCGCTCATAGAGCGTTCCCATGTCGAAGTAGAGCCTCTGGTCGACCACGGCCCGCTCCCTGGGGTCGCTCGGGTACAGGTGCGCCGGACCGTACTTGGAGGCTAGGTACGACAGAATGGCGCGGCTGGAACGGACAACTCAGGCGTGATACTGATTACTGAATGTTATGAAGAGTTATGCAAAATGTGACAATAACAAGCAATGACATACGTTAATTACGATAATGAGCCCGATGCGACAATTTGCTGATCTAACACTTCATATCAAAGGTACGGAGCCCATTGTCTCTCTCACCTCTCCCACAAGTAGAAGCCGTTGTCATCCATCGTCGGAATGGTGTGCTGAGGGTTCATCTGCGGAAATGAATGTGGTATTTGCGTTAACTTTAATTATTATTTTTGATTTCTAAGAACAATACAATAATGCTGGATACCTGTTTTACATACAACAGTTACAAATGCAAGCATTTAATGGTGTATCTCTCGGCTTCGTTCTATTCTTATTTTCACGTTCTATTTACTTCACATATCGATAACAGCCGCATCTTATTTAACTGCATATTTGCCACATGTTAAACCGGCCATAGCCTATCTCACTGACCTGCAGGTAATGCTGTGTGCGGTTATCTCCGGCCAGTACATTGCACAGTTTGGGAGTTAGCTGCAGTCCGATGGACTTTGCCAGTAGGAGAACCGACCGGCACGGGGCGCTCAGAGGCATATAATGCAGCTCCACAGGCTTCGAACCGTCCGCCATCGCTGAAAAAACGGCAATAAGTGAGATGGTAAAAGGGATGGAGTTTCTGTTTAGACGGTGCTGAATAGTGATGTCAATTGTCGGTTTGGTATCGGTAGGTATACCAAAAAGTTGGTATCCGATTGACATCTCTAGTGCAAAAGCGAAGCCCAATTACGTTCCATTAGGCTCCCATGAAGGCAATCGTTTCCGGTAGTTTATATGTATTGATGATAATGGTCATATGGATATTTGAGGCTATATAATCAACCATGAGTGTTTCTTTTGTGTAAGATCGCCTTTATCGGCCGCATCTAATAGATTGTCGTAGAGGACGAGACAGATAAGTGCACGGCAATTACCAGGATCCCGCTGCACTTAGGGGTACCGATACTGAAGAGATAATCTGATTCATCGAACGGAGAAGAGAATCAGTTCACGTGAATCAGTTGCTACAGTCCTGAGCCCACAGCGACAAGCCTAAATCAAAGAAACATGGCCGGAAAGGCTCAGCGACATGACGTGTTCAGACGGTACTTATTCCTGTGGAAACTGGATTATGGATCATGGACGGATGGCTGAGGCATACCGGGTGGCCCAGAAAAAACGTTCCGAACTTTGGAGGCCTATATATCAAATTCGAGTACAAATAACGAGCCAAAATTTTCATCAATTTTGCGTCATTTCTTTGCGCATTGGTATGCCAAATTATAACACTATACCATCATTTTCCAGCTGGGAATCTTGAGTTGAAATAAGTAAGACGTTTTTACTTTTTTTGCCGATGTCAAACGATAGTGATGATAGGGTTAGACGTCCCATGTTATAAAAAAGAATAAAAAATAGAGCACGTGAATGAAACCAACACGTATGTTCTTATTTTGAATATTTTTGTCTCCTTATGTGCCAAATATTCAAATACTGAGCCAAAATGGTGCTCATGGATGCCATTCGTTTCAACACCAAATCATGTTTCGAGCAGGAGTGGCACGGTGCATGGATTACTGCTGATTACCCTCCTTTCAGTATGATTAAACAGCAAATCGGCCGGATAAGGAAAACAAACTAAAGCAGACTGGTTCCTGTGCCAGAAGACCACAGAATAGCTTATGAAAAACAACATTGTCAGCAGATGACAAAAAAACTGGTTGAAAAGCTGCCTTTTCCCAGGAATGTCAACCAGGAAAGCATTTGAGCCACAAGATGGTTAGAACACTGGAAACTTCTTCCGATGCCGCTGGCACAGAGCCATCGTGGTTGCCTGAGGGAATGTGTCATCCTGATACCCGAACCATCAATGAGACTAGCTGCCAGTAGAAGTCATGGCTCTAGGCCGCGGTGCCGCGGGGTGAAAGTGACCCGTTCACTCACATTTTTTAATAAGCATCGGAGCAAAAAAGTAATTTTTACATGGCATGCTTGAAACACGAACCTTTTAAAAAGTAATTTATCGAACACCATGAAAATCGCACCATTTACTGAAAATGTGTGCCGCATTGACTATTCGAAGTTTCAATGTTGTATCTTTATCACTTTCTGAGAAATATTGATATAAAGTTGGGAACGTTTTTTCTGGGCCACCCGGTATATCGCATTACAGTGGACCACATGGAACGTTTGCTGAGTATGAATCAGGATATCGTCGCATGCGATTATGTAATACACATTGATGAGTGATTATGAAAGCGCTTCTAAGGGCATTTGACAAGTAGGCTTTTCCCGAGGCATTTCCGTTGGCAGCCGGGATGCCACGCTGTCTTTAGTGAGACATTGGGAGGCGCTTCAGTCATTCTACACAGGATATCACCATGACGAGGGGTTTTGCCGCCGCTCGCTCTAACTAATTGCCCCCCACGGTGTGAGGGGAGGCATGCTGCGAGTCACATCCTGTGCGACATGCGTGTTCCAGCCTCCAGGCTCCTCAAGGCTGGAGGTGTGTTACTCACGTTGGCCGTTTCGAGATGAAAATAGCCTCAGTGCCTAAGCCTGCAGGTGGTCTCTCATTCATAGAAACACACATAACTTTGATGATTGTTTTTTGTCGCATTGTATGAGCTCTGTTGTTTTGTCGGGACATAAGTATTACCTAGGACTCTTTGCATCATATTGCTCTGTCATATCAATCCGAGATATACCAGAAATATCTGCATCTAGCACATCACAAGATAGGCCCTGATAACGCTATCAACTGAGCTCACGTCACCCAAACCCAAGTATTATCGCAAGGAACACTATGAAAAACGTTTCTCCATAGTCATTCAATAGTGTTTATGCAAGACCAATCCACAAGTTCAGAGCTCATACGTGCCGCGGTCGCGCGCAGCAAATACATTTTTTATGCAAGACAAATCCACAAGTTAAGAGTTCTTACGTGCCGCCTAAGCTTTCGTCATGGCCTTCGTGACTATATCCAAGCTTATCAGTCAGAATACGTCGTGACTGAATGTACAGTTTGCATTATTACAAGCTCAATAAATGCGATTACATAAAGCCATGCTCATTGCACAGGCACTCCAACCTTTCTGGGAAACAATATCCCGGAAAGTGATAAATGCTACTGGGAAGGTGACCTTCATGCTCATGTCCATCAGGTCATGAAAAACATCATTGAATATTGCAAGAGTGCTTGTTGGATCATGCACGGCTCAGCTTGGTTCGAGGTAGCTAGCAGGATATGTCTAATGTCTATGCATACAGTACCTCTGTCAGTGTCAATATGTGACTCGCCCTTCCCTCCCTCCCTCCCTCTCTCTCTCTCTCTCTCTCTCTCTCTCTCTCTCTCTCTCTCTCTCTCTCTCTCTCTCTCTCTCTCTCTCTCTCTCTCTCTCTCTCTCTCTCTCTCTCTCTCGCCCTCCTACTACACCTCTTCATCCAAGCCACAGAACACTTCATCACTGATCCCGAATACCCCAAATCGCCCATTTGTGTGACACCAGTAATCAGGCCGGCCTTACCTGCCGCGCTGCCGCTGATCACAGGGAGACAGGTGTTCCACAAGGGCCGATCGTTGGTCCCACCAGCACTGTGCCGACTCACAGACGTACCCACAGTTCTATCATCGCCGTGTTATCAGCAGCGGTGGCTATCAGAGAGCTGATACAGAGGCGTGCTGAGCCAATAGGCAGCGGGTCGAGATGGTGATCATCTAAAATTGATATCAGCATGTGAAGTGCGGATGATAAAAGTTCTTAAAGACGTGAAATCATTAAACGTCTCTTGTAAGGGCCGTCCAGGAGTGAACGATTCCGCAATAAAAGCAGTCGCTGATTTTGAAATACCTAAGAAACCCTTATCCGATCGGAGCGTTTCGTCGATTCCCCCTTCCACGTATCAGACCTTTTATTTCTGTCTTCGAGTTAGCTGTCACGTCATATACCGGGCTTTTCAAAAAAGTTGGACGATTTTATAACTAACGTATTGAAGGGTGTATCAGTGTAACAAAACATAATTGGGTATCACCTGAAAGCCTCATCAAAGACATTTCGTTTGAGGGGATTTCGATCCTCGGCAGTCGCCTTTCTGAGCCGTGCCGAGGTCATGTTCGAGATGATTCCCTTTTTGCTCGATGCACATTTTAGTCCGGCGCAGCGCGACCTCTGCTGCAGCACGACCCACAGAAAGCTGCAGACGGCACACCGCTGACTTAACTGCATCCTTATGATCTTCGGAACTTTTTGGGTGGTCTCGGTACACCTGGGACTTGAGTTGGTCCTATAGGAAAAAGTCCGGTAGGGTTACGTTCGGAGAATTCGCCGACCACGGGCGTGTCTCGAACCTCGAGATCACGCGCTACCCGAAGCGCTCCCACAGCCCCTCTTGGTTTTCTTTAGCGGTATTGGCGTAGCACCGTCTTGGTATGTAAATGGTATGATTTTTATGTTATTCGGTCAATTACTTTTTAAATGGTTCGTGTTTCTAGCATGCCATGTAAAAATTACTTTTTTGGCTCAGATGTTTACTAAAAAATGTGAGTGAGCGGGCCACTTCCATCTCGGCACCACGGCCTGCAGCCATGACTGCTACTGGCAACTAGTCTCATTGATTGTTCAGGCCTCAGGGTGACACATTCCCTCTAGCTTTTTTCCTTATTCGGTCGATTTACTGTTTGATCTTCTTGAAGGGAGGGCGATCAGCAGTAACCCATGCACCGTGCCACTCCTGCTCGAAACAGGACTTGTTAAAACAAATGGCATCCATTAACACTATTTTGGCTCAGTATTTGAATATTTGGCACATAAGTGGGACAAAAATATGTAAAATAACAACACACGTGCTGGTTTCATTCACATGTTCTATTTTTCCTTTTTTTCTAACGTGGTACGTCTAATCTAAGCCAATCATTACTGCCGTTCAACATCGGCAAAAAAAGCAAAGACGTCTTAATTAATTCAACATAAAATTGGTGGCATGAAAATGATGTTACAGTGTTATAAATTGGCATACCAATGCGCAAAGAAGTGACGCAACCTTGCTGAAAAATTTGGCTCGTTATTTGCACTCGAATTTGAGATATAGGCCTCCAAAGTTCGGAAAGTTTTTTTTTTGGGCCACCCGGTAAATCGGATCAGCATAAATTTTCTATCTCGAATGGGAAGAGCAAGTCGTTCATTGGGGATTCGCCTCCACTTGGATACAGGTTATCGTTCACGACGCGACGGAAAGTCAAAGGCATTCAAATAAATTTAAAAAATTTATATAGGGTATGCGATGTGCACCCATCTCATTCACGTTATTACGGAGCGAGCGAAGCGAGCGTAGTCTTTCCTTAGATTAACGGAAATTTCTGAGTATGAGCGGCCGGCCGGCCGGCCGGCCGGCCGTGCGGACGCTTTTGCGAGGCTTATATCTCAGCAACCACTTGACCGATTTACACGCGGTAATTTTTGTAGGGTAGCTTCATTCCTTCTACCAAGTATTGGACTATTCCCGATGCATGTGGGTGACCCCTTATGCACGTGCCACGTGCAAAACGAAGAGGTGTCAGTTTTGTAATTGTTGCAATATCTCGGTAACTACTTGGCCGATTGCGCTGAAAGTTGGCATGTAGGTAGGCACCCACTAGGCACTGCATATCCATGTGCCAGAGTTGGGGTGCTGCTGCACGTGCGCACTTGCAGGGGTCGTTTCCAAATCTCGAGAACGGCTGGACCGATGGCGCTCAAATTTGGTACACGGTTAGGGGCCAGTTAGTAGGGTGCCGTGCAAAAGTCAGTTGGAACCCATTTTGCACGTGCGCACGTGCAGGGTGCCGCTTCCAGATCTCGAGAACGGCTGGGCCGATTGTGCTCAAATTTGGCACATCGCTAGAGACCGGTGAGTAGGGTGCCGTGCACAAGTCAGTTGGAGGTACCCCCTCGAAATTTCGCACGTGCAAGGCTCACTCTCTCGCTCGCTCCGTTAGTCGCCCCAAAAGGCGTTATACTGGTGTAAGTCTTTCTAGTCACATACAGCCAATGCTAATCTAAATTCCAGTCGTTCGATACGGTGCATCTCTGCACCAAGTACCGACTATCAATGAGTTCAGCCACAGAATCGCTTGAATCAGACGAGACTGCAAGTCATCCTGAAGCGGTGAGCGCCTTTACTGAGAGCCGAGTCTCTCAGGTGGGACACGTCACTTCGAGAGCCGTCCACACCTGCCTGAATCATCCTGCCGAGTCATCGCAGGACGTCACCATGGCAACTGACGCCCGAGGGAAATGCCATCGTATGGTGTGTGAATCGCGAGCGGTCCACGCGCGAAACACAAATACCGCCGAATGTCAACTTCGCTATGTTGAAAAAGTGGCCAAACTCCTACGGATCACATTGCCATTTCGGCCACACAATGGACAAGGTCGCATTTTATCAAATGCATTGCTAGTCAAATGTTAAATTCATATAGGTGCCTATCTACATGTACCTAACATACATTATCGTGAAAACGTCATTGTAGAATGGTTCTGAACGTTTTCAGATAAATATCGATTTTGCACATTATGTTAGGTTTGCAAACAAGCGTCCCTTTCTTCATCGTCAAAGAACCTGTGCAATCTAAAACGTGCACAGGCGTGGTCATGTTTTAGATGTTTTCGGCCAGGCCACGGGCCGTTTATAAAGTTGGCTGCACAGTTACGTGCAGCCGATCCATTGCTATGTTTATTGGCGGGTCGACTCAGCAATGACGTCGCGGCAGTTGCATGTGGCGACTGTCTTGTTGACACGGGACCTTGTGCCGTATCAGACGGACGGGCGGAGGTCGGGTACTGTGCAACGTCATTCCAGCGTAAGGCCGCCGGCCATTCATCCGACTTTCCTGCTCGTTCATTCACCCTGTGACAACACCCTCGCTGTTCCACCGTGCCTCACCTGACCTCGTCCATGGCCGGTGCTGACTCTACCGTTACCCGTCTGGGTCGGTCGGCGTCTGCTCCCCCAGTCTGGCCGCCTGGAGCCGCCTCTGCGCGCTGCAGGGGTGTCCGGCTCCGCCTATTTGTCCGCCGTCCGGCCCCGCCTCCGTCCACTAGCTCGTGCTCCTCCGAATCGAGAGGTCGGCCGTCCAAGTCTCCGTACCGTACCCAACTCCAAACCAGCAGGTAAGCTGACACGATGGAAATTTGAGTACCTAAATGTTATGAGTTCTGGGGCATGTGGTGTCTGAGTTGAAGCGTCTGTGTAGTAGGTACACGGTAATGCTTCCTGTTCACTTTTCTCTTTTATATTTACTTTGGTGTTTAAGTTTATCTAAATATGCCTAGAAACTATCCATAGACACACTCATATCTTCGTAAGTTGAGACGTTAAGAAAATGCGGTTTCATGTCAATTGTCACAATTTGTGTAGATCGTATACGCTTTACATTTCGTCCCGCCCCCTCTCTTTCCGATCTACAACCTGAACCGTCAGACCTTCAGTGCGGCAGCTATCTGTCAAGAGCCTCTTCTCACTATCATTGCGGAATGTTGCAATACTAGATAGGCTATGCGGAAGTTATAGAAGTTACCAGCATCTGAAGTGCCTTTCTAATTCACAAAGTTGCTCAGAGTTTAGAGCGGAATTTCCACAACAAAGTTTGTCATTTGAATCACAAAATGTTATCTGAAATGGGTACAGTCTTTTAGTACGAAATAAACATTTCATCCTTTTTTGAAAGCTAAAGTAGAGCACTACCTTAACTCGTACGTCAGACCTTTTCCAGCATGTTTATCAAGTAATGCTGTATGCATTCAGCTCTCGTCGTCCCTATCAATCCGTGCCGTCCATGGACCAGCACCGTGGCTTGTGTCCTATGCAGTCCATCACCGGTGCCAGGCGACGACACCAAATGAACCCACACGGCGAGCGGCACGGTTCGATAACGCCGTGTGCCTGCGCTTTGTCCCCGTGTATAGCGTACAGAGAACTTCGTTATGCAGCGAGCTCAACAGAACAGCTCAATGTCCAGCTACCGTGACGACGTTCATGGACCTGTAAACCATGTGAATACAAACCAGGAACCAAACAGAGACGCCGTGCTAAGTGAATGCCTTTCAGTTCTCGATTGCCTATCCTCATACGATGTATTTTACCCACGGCATTCTCATTATAAAGACGCATTTATCACGTGTCTATGGCCAAGCATTGTTTCACATTTACGCTAAGCTTCATACTTCAGACAAGCGCAGCATATTTGGACTCTAAATATTCTTCTCACGAAATTCACATGCGCGGTGCGTGCACATTATAGGCATTGGGCCTTATTGGCCCCTTGTATATAGCCTGTGGCATTATGTACCCATGCGATAAGACGGTATACCAATGCATACACCGGAGTACGTTTTATGCTTGCTATCAGTAATAGTAGCGTACTCGAACCTAGGCCACTGAAGACCAGCTTCGAAATAAAAAGATGCATAACATACCCCTCGAGAGCTGGCTTAGTATATTGTTAGCTTAGTCTACTTTTATCATTATATTTTTAAATGATGAGGAATAGCTATACTATGCAATGTAAATATACTATGCAATATGAATAGCTATACTATTGCAATAGTACCTACTATGCATATTCTACAGCGCGAAAACTTCTTACTTATAAATTTTAATAACTTTTTAATCGTTGCGTCGGTTATTAGCAACAGCCATGTATGAGACGCATTTACGAACTATGGGTGGAGACTTCCATTTCATGTCTAGCTAGACGTGTCTAAGTCTTAGATGCGTCTAGCTGGACGTCGGCTGCGTCTAGCTGGCGACGGCTAGCTTTAGACGCGTCTAGCTTGGAAGTCTCCGTCCAACGCAAGCTTGGACGTCTGCTCAGTTAGACGCCAGTTGGACGCCAGTGGAAGTCTCCACCCTATGTGTTACGTGCTAGGTGGATAGCCAAATTTCGATGCGTCCATCATTGAAATCACATTGATTTTATTGAGACCAATTTGCATAAGTTGGAATAGAACGAACCGAGCCAGACTGCAGAGCTCTCGTTAATTGATTAAAGCCCGACTGCGTTTTATAGAGCTCAATGGTCCCGTTTAATTTACATTTGACGACGCCCATTGGACGCATCTCCCGGATGTGAACGCCACTGCATTCCGGTGATATTTATGGGGTTGTTTACCAGCGAGCTGTAATGTGTGGTCGGCTTAGCTCATTTACATTCAGCCGAACAGATCGTGACCCTTTCACCTGAGCGTGCAGTCTAAGAGCCGAGGCAGTGAAATCGATCACCACTGCACGCTGTCGACACTTGACTTAGTAACAGAGTGAATAACTTGGATGTGAATGTAAGCCTTTTATCAAGAATCGGTGCTAATAAGCCCGAAATGGGTGAACATGTGAAGCAATTAAGCCATGTTGCAGTTCATCCAAATTCCAATATTTGATAACAGCTGAACATAAACGGACACAGGATTAAAGGTTCCTATTCCCCGGAACTGGTTGAAACACCGCAAAAAAAAAACATTTTGCGATCGACCTGTCTCGTTCCCCAAAACCAAAGCACTTGCATCTGTAGGCAGCCACAATGTATACTGGATGGAGACGGGTCTGCGAGATAGACGTTTTGATCAGACGCCCGCAAGATAAGTCTCTTTTAACTACAAAAAGAAACAGCTTTATGAACAGTTCTGGAATCACATTATAGGTTATGAGCGGTCAGAATTCAAAGATTTTTAAACGACTTGCATGACATATAATAGCCCTGCCGTCCTGAAAAACTCGAGTTCGGAGTTTCCGCCCTGGAACCAAATCCTTTTCTCTTGGTCACCAGCCGGCTCGAATCTGCAGCGCTGCAGTCTACAGTCTCTTCATGTCGCCCGCAGCTACCGTCCGGGCTGCTGGGTGACCTTCAGTGCCCTCAGCGGCCTCCCTGCCTCTCCCCTGGCCCGGTTAGCGTCTGTTGGCACCGCTCGCGGACCGGCCGGCACATTCCGGCTGCCTCTGACCCGCGCCGGCTCCCCTCGCATCCCATCTATCGTCCGTCGCCGCCGCCACCGCCGCCGCTGCCGCCGCCGCTGTACCAGCCGTGACGTGGCCCGGGACAGCGCTGTCTGACGCCCGTTTCAGCCAAAATCTGCACAGTCACTGTGACTCCGTGCGGACTCTGCCCAGAGGCGGTGGAGGCGTGGCGGCGGGGGAGCGGCGGATGCAGCGGCGGTTAGCGGCGGAGGTGGCGGAGGGCACGTCCAGAAGAGCCGGCGGGTGGCGGCGGCAGGCGAGAGGGAGGGAGGGTGGGAGGGAGGGTGAAAGTCTGCCGAAAGCCGCATTCCGGAGAGCGATTACCTCGGGGGCGGTTCAGCCGTGAGAGCGAGCGTGATGGTGGTGCAGAGGCGCGACTGATGGTCCGGGTATCGCCGGGGGGCACAGACGACCGCAGCTGGCAGCCGCAGCCGACCGAAGCCACCGCCAGCTGCAGCCTCAGCCAAAGCTCACAGCAGCCACAGCCACAGTTCGTCACAGTCACAGTCACATGGTCTTAACCAGCCATCCAGCCAACATACAGTCACGGTCAGCAACAGCCAGTCACAGCAGCCACTGGACGGTAGACGGTCGGCGGCAGTGGAGAAGGTTGCGCTGAAAAGAAGCTATTTAATTATGAAACGAAACAGGATTATGAGAAGCCTAAAAGAAATTACTTGTAATGTTGTCTCTGAACTAAATCGCATCTGTTCATCGGTCCTTCTGCTTTGTATGTTGACTTGTAGTGTCCGTCCTCAGCAATGGGTGTGGGCCCCGTGCCGCCGGTTCTGACATGGGTGTTGACCCGAGCCTCCCCTCTGTGCCCGCAGCCATGGGTGTCGATCTGTACTACATGGACCTGAGCGCCCCGTGCCGCTCGGTTATGCTGCTCGCTAAGGCCATCGGACTGGAGCTCAACCTCAAGGTCACCAACATTATGACTGGAGAGACCCGCACTCCCGAGTTCATCAAGGTGAGAAATGGACCTACACGATTTGCGCCATTTCGTTGTTTTAGCGGCTATTGTCCAACGCATAGGTATCGTTAATATAATCGGGGTAATTGACAAAGCATAAAAATTGTTAATGACATCTTAGTTTTAGGTATTAGCAGGTTTCGTCTTGACTCATTGGAAAGCAAATAATTATGTTTGATCACTTATATGTCATATGTGTAAAATAAATATAAAATATACATAACCACTGCCGCGACCTTTTGATCACCCGTATATTGCCGAAATATTGAAGGCTTTGTGCACTATTCTGCTGCACTCATAGCAGCCTATACTGCACCGCTTAACGGCATTGAACAGCGAGGGTCATTTGAGCTTCCTCGGTTTAATCACCGTCAAACTGCTTCGATCGCGAACTTGTCTTGCAAATGACCGTTTAAAACAGCGTGTCCGAAGTTCAATTGATGTTAAAATCCATAATGATGGACTTTGCAGCTGCTCATTATTGGGGTTTAATCACCCATGTACTCGGTAAGCTCCGGACATTGCAGGTCTTCATGAACGGCGAATTGTGATCGATATTACTCCAGTGGCGTGTCTATCATGAAGGCAATGAGTGATGACACCTCCGTGACTCTCTCCTCTCCCTCTCTCTTTCGGCAGATGAACCCTCAGCACTGCCTGCCTACCATGGATGACGACGGCTTCAAGCTGTGGGAGAGGTGGGTGAACCACTCCGATCCCGTATGACTGCTCTGTCGATAATTATAATCGAGTGATCGATTTTGGGCCTTGATCACACTCTACTTGTTGCGATAACATTAGAACTGGCATAAATAATGTCTGGATGCATTCGTAATAATTTATTGGCGAGGGGAGTATGCTAGTTATTGCTGATTATTGGATTATTAATCAAGGTTGATGAGAAATGCAGGCCAAAGCTATAACCAAATATGGGTCATTTTTATAGCGTTTGATTTATTGCAAACATTTATAAGCAGCCACTCGCAAAATATTACGACCTGCAGATAACGACAGCCGATCTGTGCACCCCTAACCCGACCTCCTCCGTCCACAGCCGCGCCATTCTGTCGTACCTGGCCTCCAAGTACGGTCCGGCGCACCTGTACCCGAGCGACCCCAAGGAGCGAGCCGTGGTCGACCAGAGGCTCTACTTCGACATGGGAACGCTCTACGAGCGCTTCGGCAAGTGTGTGGTGAGTGGAGCTGGAAGGTTGGAGCATGGCAGGGTTTCTATTGGTTCGATCATATTTCCCAGCTGTTTACATTTTGTGAACGATCACAGCTGTTTTCCTATGCCGAGGATTCAACGAATTGTTGCTGAATTGCTAATTCTAGTCCCGTAAGACCTCGACCATGAAAGCTGCAACGAATGTGACCGATTTAGACCGATTATCACTTAGACCGATTATGCCATATTTCCCAGAATTTGTCCTAACCCACCGGATGTTTGCCTGGGCTTTAGATTTGCCTGTCCCTACCCTAGTAATAACGTGTTATACCTGTATGTGCAATACGAAAGCACCAGTTGACTTCATTCCGCTTCTTTTACCCCGTTTCCAGTACCCGCTGATGTTCGGAGACGGTAAGATCGCCGATAACGCGCTGGACAACCTGAAGGAGGCTCTCGGCTGGCTGGAGGGCTTCTTCGGCGACAACCAGTACGTCGCTGGTCCCAAACAGACGGTGGCAGACTTCGCCATCGCCTCCACCGTCGCCACCATCGAGGTTAGTAGCGGGGGGGGGGGGGGGAGGGGGAGGGATGGCCGATGGGAAATGAGCACGGTCAAGGCAGGGACATTAGTGTCCTCGTAGCGGACGGCTTTTGAGCTAGCTGAGCTGTCAGATGGTATCGTTCTTGTTAGTTTTTCTCATACCGTTCTTTTTACCTCTAACGCTGATTTAGCGGCTTCTCTCTACGATTGTCAAGCCGAAGCGTCAGCTATGATAGTTCCGTTTAGTTGGTCTGTTCCGATGTCACGTATCCTTGATCTATTCAACTTCCAGTCTTTTTTTCCTGGTGCAATATCCTCCCGCTCTTTCGCCCAGACCAGGCCCTGTCGATCACACTCCTGGTTGGTGTGTCTCCTGATGACGTCACCGCACTGTGTCTCCTGATGACGTCACCGCGTTGTGTCCCCCTGATGACGTCACCGCTCTGCGCCCCCTGCTGACGTCACCATACCCTCTCTCAGGCCTGTGAACTGGTCGACCTGGCCGCTTACCCTAAGCTGAGCGCCTGGCTGGCCGCCTGCAAAACGGACATGCCCGGATACGCCGAGCTCAACGGTCAGGGTGCCACCGCCTTCGGCGGCTTCTACAAGGCCAAGGTCAATGCCTAATCTTGCCATTACAGGGTCGTCGATCATCAATACTAAATGTTAGGTATTACGTTTTGTATTTGTTGCTGTTCTAACGGGATGCTTCAAGGACGGCGACGACGTTCTTGTTCCGTACTCACATGCAATTGTTGAAATGATTGTTCATGCTCTTGTGTTATTATCGGCTACTGCACTTTTGTGAAAGCCCTTGCGTCTCCATATTTAACGTTTTCGTACGGTCGTGTTTTGTTTTAATGCATTCCGATCAAGTCAGGCTGTCAAATACAAATTTTGTACAAAAATGTTTTATTTTGCAATGATGACGGGTTCTCGACATATTTACTCTTTCTCCATCGAAATATCAATGCAACTTAATCGCCAGGTGAAAGCATAATAAATACAGTGAGATTCACTAACAGCCTCGCAAAACATTTCATACTTGAGCTGATCACCGCACGCGCTGAAATAATATCATGTTTTCACTGGGAGCAAATAACGGGAGACACTATGAAAACGGGAGATGAGATCAATACAGCCACCAAGCGCGGGAGCAGATACACACAGAGACTCACATGCAACATCAAGCGACAAGCGTGCATATGGTTCCTAAGATTGCACGGCCGCAAAGCCCACACTGTCCAAAGTGCGGGGAATCCTTACGAAGTAGCCTAGTGGCGAAAATAGTACAAAAGGCGACATGATAGCCGCGAGATATTTAAGCGTATGTGGTAGGCGTCAGTGGCAGCGTAGGGTTCCGTCCTTCGGATATACTTATCGACTTAGTCGACCAACATTACTGTAGGTCGCACTCGCCCAACTACGCCTAAAGTCGAATCCACACACGCACAAGAGCACACACACATATATATCCATACGCTCGACATGCTTTGATGATTGAAGAATATGGTCGCAAGTGTATGTCACTTGTCACCATCGCCGACGAAAGAAGGCAGCGCATTGGGCATCCTTAGGACAACTGGACAATTGGATTCAATAAGTCGGGGTACTTTTGTTGGGTCCATATAGGACTAGATTAGTAGACATGATTTTGTAGTGTCTTATGACGGCAAACCCAAAATGAAGTCTGATTCTGTTCTCGTGACGCATAGAACGCTCGCTTCCTGGGTGTGTCAGAACTATCTACAGCTGCACACTTGAACTGCGTACCTTCTTTTATCATCCCACGTCCGGTGTCTATAGTACGCGACTGATACGCCCCCTCCTTGCCCGTCTCCTGTCCTAGTAGTCCTCTAGTCTCCCTCCCCGCCACATATCTAGTAGTCCACGTGGTTGGGCGCTGCCAGCTCGTAGTCGCCGTCGTATATAGCGAACAGGTCGTTGGGCCGGCTTGGTCGGGCTGGCTCACGGCTCACTGTTCGCTCCAGGAGGCGCCGCTTGAGCTCGTGCGGACACTTGACCTGGATAAACTCCCTGCCCGTCTCCGGCCGCTTCTCCCTGCCGGCGGTGGGTGAGAGGGTCCAGAGTCAGTTGTGACTCTGACTCAGGGGTAGAGAAGATCGGTCTCATAGGAGGCTAGTTTTGTACCGTAGAATGGCGATCGAGTGCATTTGAAAACAAACGACGGAAAGACAACACACGGAACAGCCTGGTGTGGTGGTAAGGAGCATCTGAGTTCAGCTGAGGGAAAATATACAGACTCTGCAGTTCTGCACGGTGGCATGTGACATGAAAATAAACAAATAAAAGGAAAACCCAGGGACGTCAGGCAACAGCATTATACATAGGTACGTCGACAGCAGCTCAAGTATCTCCTACTTATGCCGTAAGTCTTATTGATAAAGCACGTCTCACCCCCTTTTCTTCAATCTGTCTCCACTGCTAGCTTACTCACCCCCTGGCGAAGCAGAGCAGGTAGTAGAAATAGCAGAGCAGCAGAGTGAGAAGGCAGAGCGCCACGACAATGGACCCCCAGGGCAGAGCGCGGTGAACCACGAACGAGCGCTCCCAGTAGCGGTCGCAGGTCAGGTACCAGCAGGTGGCGCCACTCAGCTCCTCTGGGGACAGGCCACAGGTCACAGGTCACAGAACACAGTCCCAGTAGCGGTCACAGGTCAGGTACCAGCAGGTGGCGCCACTCAGCTCCTCTGGGGGACAGGTAGGTCACAGGTCACAGTGGCGGTCACAGGTCAGGTACCAACAGGTGGCGCCACTCAGCTCCTCTGTGGGACAGATAGGTCACAGGTCAGGTCACAGGTCACAGTCACAGGTCACAGTAGCGGTCACAGGTCAGGTGCGAGCAGGTGGCGCCACTGAGCTCCTCTGGGGACAGGTCACAGGTCACAGGTCAGGTCACAGGTCACAGTCACAGGTCACAGTAGCGGTCACGGGTCAGGTACCAGCAGGTGGCGCCACTGAGCTCCTCTGGGGACTGGTTACAGGTCACAGGCCACAGGACACAGGTCACAGGTCAGGTACCAGTAGGTGGCGCCACTGAGCTCCTCTGGGGACTGGTTACAAGTCACAGGTCAGGTACCAGTAGGTGGCGCCACTGAGCTCCTCTGGGGACTGGTTACAAGTCAGATCATAGGTCAGGTAGCTCATAGGTCAGGTCCTGGTTAGCCCGTCCCGCAGCTCAGTTGCTAGAGCGTTGGACTCCCGGTAGTGAGAGCTCGGGTTCGAGTCGCTCCGGCGCTTGTTATTTGAAACTCATGGATGGATTGACAGGGATGGTCTGCGGTTGGTGGGAGCATCCGCAGTCAGCTGAAGTCAGTGAGTGGGACAGGCTGTGTCCGGCCTTAAAGGGCACGTTAAACTTTGGCATCTAAATTCTCCCGTTACCTGAACTTACGCGATCGGACGGTAGGGGTCGAGGTTTACGCAACAGGCTCTGCTTAGCGTAGGCCCCGGCTCTGTTAATCCGTCCATTCATACTTTCGATCTAAATTTATAAAAAGGTACCAGCAGGTGGCGCCACTCAGCACCCTGAGCGGGCCATACATGCAAATTGCACGATAATGTCAGTGCCCAGTGCACGGCCATCATCCAACACAAGACACATTGCAGCATAAACAGATACGATCAATAATAGGCAGAAACCAAAAGGGGTCCGTTTTGCCTCGAAACTTACCACTCATGGCCCGAAACTCGGCCGGCGATAATTGCAAAATGAGCGGCAGCACGCAGTTAGTGATGAGAGTCTGAAATGAAAACAGTTCAACGTGAACACTAACACAATGGCAGGGTTATTCACGGCTAGATAAGGTCGCTATATGCAATTCTAGATCTATATACAATCATAATGCGTTCTAAGCATGCTACGCTTCTAAATAACGCGATAAAACAGACCCTTGGTGCGAGGTTAGTAACAGGAAGACGTTGTAGAGCTTCACGGCCTCGACCTCAGTCAGACCGGATCACCGCTCACCTCACACGTCTTCCTGAGCCGCTCCATGGTGCTGGGGTCGCACGCCGGGTCCTCCACGTCACCCTCCTCGCGCTCCTCCTCACACTCGGCCGTGACGTCATCACTCGCCGGCGGTGTGACGTCACCCACCCACCACCAGGCGTACGGCGTCCACCACCAGGCCTCCGTCCGAGATAGACTCGCATTGTCCGCCGGCCGCCGGCCGGAGCAGCGCTCCGCTCCGTCCGGACCGGAGCTCACACAGCGAGCACACTGCCCTCTATCGGTCGCGGCCAGCACTCGAGCCTGTGAATATTTCTGCAGGTGGCGCGGGCGAGCCGGCTGGACGGCGCGCCGCGCCTCTGCTGAGGGCGCCACTGTCTCGAGCTCGGTGCTCTCGAGGTCGGCGCGGCTCGAGGTGAGGACGTACGAGTAGACGCTGCAGCGGAGAATGTCGCACAGGTCGGCAGCGCACACCAGCGTCTCATCCTGCGGGAACACAAGGCAACGATGAGCGTCAAGACGAAAAAGAAAAAAAACGGAGAAGGAAGCATGTCCTCATCGTTGGACGTGAATTGAACTGTACAGCGCACACACCTCACGCCTGGTCTTTTTACCATATCCAGTCCTTCCAAAGCTTCACAATCAATCCTTTTTGCACTTTGATCTCCCTGTCTTGCTCCTTGCTTAGGCACTCGAGCCCACATCGTCACATAACTAGACGGGCCGGTACCTCATCGATATTAGATCAGTATAACGTCACTAAACCTTCTACCAAGCCCGAGGGAACTATCCCAGTTTAGAAACCTGGCTGTTTATCGGTAGAGTAAAATATATTTGGATGGCCGTCACATTAAATTTCTAGTCACCTTCAACTTCAACCGCTAACTACCATAGTTCCCCTTCCTATACTGACCTGCCGGTCCGGCGGCGCCGCGTGCTCGGCCCGGTGGTGGTACTCGACCAGTACCTCCCTGCTGAACTGGCGGCCGCACACGGGACACCGCCAGCGCTGGCCGTGCCGACGCCGCGGCAGGTGAGAGTACTGCAGCCGGGCCGGGTGGAGGGGACACTGCAGGGGCAGCGAGACGTTGTACCGGGCCACCACCGGCAGCCAGCGCTGAGGGGAGGGGTAACTGTCAGGGTACAGTGTGATACCGGGTACGGAGGGCCGATGATAGGGTCTAGGACGGTCTCGTCCCGCATCTGCCCGTATGGGTATGATTATGTCTGGCTTAATGCAAAACTGTATACGCAACAGGTCAGCAAAAATCACACCCATCCTCAAGAAAACCGAACGTCCGGGTCATTTTGTCAAGGACGGTCGTATCCTGAGCATAGCTTTGAGAGCGTGTCATGTGCAGTGTGGAGGCCAGCGCGGAAGTTAGCGTAGTTTCTATGCTTAATTAATGTATCCGTGGTTGGGGGAGGCGGCGGCAGGTGGCGCCTCTCATCCCTGACGGATTGCGTGCCTCCGGCTGCTTCAAACAAAACCACTCCGCTCCAAACGCGTGCATCGATTGTGTCCCTAACTCGGAGGGTTCTCACCGACTCGATGATCTTTCTGGCGACATAGGAGCGTCGGACGGAGCAGGCGTGGTGACCTGACGTCGGGTGGGGGCACGGCACGACCTGAGTCAGCAGCAGGACCCACACCTGTCGGTGCGGACACACAGTTAGCTGGGGGGATACGGGACAGGGCCGCCACACAACACTCCGCTGAGTACACACAGGACACTCGCCATCGAGTGTATCGTACACACGTGATAGGAGTATCATTGATGTAAAAACGCCGCCGCCCAGCTGAGAGTTGACGATCAAAACATTACATCATCAGCTAAACCATACTGCACTGACCACAGCATAGAACCTACCGACAATTTTGATAAAACGTGACAAAAAGCATTATTCTTTCAATCACGACACATGCCACGCCCAGAGAACAAACACATCGCCTAGCTGCCAATCACAACACCCAAACCAAACACCATCCGTCACGAACCGCCACCAACACAAACAGCAAACAACACCCCTCCCTACCCACCCCTCCCCACCACCCAGTGACCGTAACACCCCCATCCCACCCCTCGATTACCCCCCGCCCTCCCCCGTACACTCACCAGAAGAGTCTCAGCCGGCGCGGCCATCCATGGACCCGCTCCGCCGACCACCGTCCGCCGTCTCGCCGTCGACAGCGACGCCGACGGGCATCGATTCTCGGCGCGCGCCACTGGAGGACGCCGCCGACGGGGGGAGGGGGAGGGGAGGGGAGGGTGTTGCACAGCAGGGAGGGAGGCACACCCCACCGAACACGGAAGCGCGGTGGACGGGGTGGTCGTGAAGGGCCGGGGGCTGTGGTGGAGTGATGGATATTGATGCAGTGTCGTAGCTAGTGAGACTTAGAAGAGACTTGTTGAAGTTAGCAGTGTGATTGTCATGAAGCCAGTCGTTCTCATGAGGGTTATGAATGTTTACATAAAGTTCATAGTACTATTTGTCGAACTCTCCTCTTTTACGAGCGTGGGCGGTGCTTCGTAGCATCCAGCCATATCGACGGCCCAGCTGATTGGGTTCGATTTCTGGGGATAAATAATTGAACGGCCGACGATTGATGTAACTGATGTCCCAGTCCGATCGGGCGACTGTCAGCCACTCGGCCGGTCAATATTTATCCTCCGACGCCGCTGAAACTCGGAAACTCCGCGACTGAGTTCCGTGACACATTGGGGTTATACGGCCTCGACAATGGACGATACAGTCAAAGTACGCCAGTAAAACGAGACTCTGAAGCTACGATGGTGCGCAACATGGCAGGCTCCGTCACATATTTCCAGCTCCCAAAAGCTAGATGACAGACGTAAAGTTACTAGTGATAACAGGCCAGTTACACCCAAAGCTTCATGCTTTGATCTCCACAACCTTATTCATACATTTATCAAAAAGTTATTTATTTAATCAGGAGCCGGGACTTCATTTCACATCATTCAGTTTATCTGTTTAGCACGTATTTATTTTGATTTGGTTGGCAGAGGTCTCTCCTGGGTTTGACACGTCATGAGGACTGAGGCGTCGCCAGTGTTTTGTTTAGTGTTCGTCTCCAGAGCTGCCATCCACGTAACGTCACCTCGTCAGAATAAAACCGCTAGGACAGTTATCAGGACGGTGAACGGAGGACAGCAGACACTGACATCTCACACATACCCAATGGCTGTACCAGTAACTAAAATTAGAGCGATGAATGGAATAGGAGGAGGTGATTTCAACGACAAATTATGCGTAACTCACAAACATCTCAGAAAATTGTTAAATTTATTTCTGTGTAGAGCAGGCCTCCCTAAGATCGGGCGACAATTTGTGACAAAGCATGACTCACTTCAAAATCACAGAGGGTTGCAACAAGGCGGGAGGACGTCTCCTAAGAGCTAGGAGGGAGCGAAGCCCAGCGTAAGCCTTCTACGCCGCACACATAAAGCCGTTCACAGCAAGACTTTTAACCAGGACCAACGCACAATTCGCGACTGCGAATATCGCAAACACGCGAGCAAACTAAGCACTGTACACCACCCAACAAAAGGCATATTAATTGCGTACCATCTGAGCTAAAAAAGAACAGGCCCGCCTTCAGCTATGGTGGGAATCTCGAAAAAAAAAAAAACTTTGTGACGCGCAAAAAGCTACGATATAACACATCGACAATCAATGTTATGTGACTACAAATAAACATTCAACAGCTACCATAACAAGCACTCTCAGCAAAACACACAACAGAAAAGGCACAAGGTTCGGACGAGAGTCGGGGTAGCGCGGCAAGTCAAGCCGCATCGCATCAGCAAGCGAACATTATTGCCTTAATCAGTGAGGAAAACAAAGTCCTTCGCCAGCGTGATCTATGAGAACGATGAAACTGAAATTAAAACCATGCACGTGTGCCATTACTACCAGACAGTATCCCAAGAAGACTTTGCAATCTGAAGCACCGTTTTGGTTTTGAACAGGAGGAAGATAGTGCCGCCTCTTCAAGGGAAGGGCGACACCAGTTGTACTGCGTTAAAGAGCCGCTAAAAGCTAGCACGGTATTGTCTCGGGAAACGGTACCAGTTATAGTGGCTGGAAGAGGAACAGGCTGAGATATTTACGGGGAGCGTAGCATACAGTATACATCAGGCAAATATATGGGGCACGGCTTTGTTTCTTTAAGCTTGCTTGATAAAAATAACTATCATCCATATTGTAAGGCATACCCATCCCATCATTCCTAGAGTAATTCCACTATCGGTGGAAATCCATAATATCTCACACACTTCTTGCAATCAACCACCAGCGGAAAAGCCCCTACACCGCACTCCAAGGCGACACACTCACCGATAGAAGAAGCGACACTCCAGTCTTATCTGCAAACACTCTGCTGCGTAGCGGGCAATATCATTTGCGGGAAGGCGCACCGACGCACATGTGATTGTGGTTTCGCGCGACACCAGCGTCCCTCACCGTCACTGACCCGCTGGTGTAAAAGCTTCCTGGGACGCAGCACAGTCACTACTCTAACCAACGGATAGCGGGGTGCTGGGTTCTCTTCCATCCTGCACGCCACAGGGGTTTTCTGAGTCACCTCTGCTCAGAGCGTCCCACGGCACAAGTTCGCACCGCCCACCACACCACCTGGCTAGTTCAGAGCGTTTGTCCGCGCGTGTGGCTCTCTAGCGGTTCACCCACCGCTGTGTCTGTCCTTCCGGCACACCTTCCCAGACTAGTGCTTCGCGGCGGTCTCGGCTCGACTCACGTCCAGCTGCTCCTTGACCTTCTGGAGCCCCTCCTTGGCGGCCTTGACCTCCTGACCGCGGCCGGCCGACTCCAGGCGCCGCTCGCGCTGCTCCAGGCTGCGCTCCAGCCGCTCCAGCTCCTGGACAGTCTCCTGCTGCACAGCCTCAGCCTGGAGGGAAAATGAGGAGTCAGAAAACCAGTGGCCACTGGAGACCAGCGTGAGTAGTTCAGTAGAGCCTAGAGGCGTATATTAGCAATGACAACAGTGGCAGTTACCGGATAATGACAGCCGTGCCTTATCAGCGAAAGGACAAGCACGCACACGAAAGTAAGCACCCAACGAACTTTGCAAGTCCACCAGTACACTTCCATCTATCTCCGAGACCCCGCCCACGTCCGTTCCCGGCACTGACCTGTTTACTATCGCCGCGCCGAGTATTGTACAGCTGCGCCTGCAGCGCCTCGGTAGAGGCTATCAGCCGTCTGCAACAACAAACAGAGCTCGGTCAGCGCGGAGTCGGACATTCCGCCGACCCAGCCGGGCCTGAAATACACGGCCGGTGGGTTACAGTTGGGTGAGAGGGAATGGCGGCGGTGCTGGTCTAGGTGTTACCATAGCTGCCTTGCAACACTCGCCAAATATAGACTAGACAGTGCAGCATGGAGTTGAGTTCAAGGAGCTTTCTCACCGACAGCTAAACTCGTACCTAGTATGTGGTTGTTTAGGGGGAAGAGAATAGGGACAAGGATCAGGCTATACGCCTCTTATTTTCGAAATTCGAGTAAAAATATATATCCCACGTCGTCTAGAGATGTGTGGATCCAGTAATCAGCCCCATAATATTTCCCCTGTGCCACCTGGTGACTGGGACTTAACTTTAAGTTTCAGCTCCACCCTGTTCGAACCACGTGAGGTGGCCGATTTTGTGGCCAACTATCGATGCATCGACGATTGAACGCGTGACCGGCGGCCGGCCTCCTAACAGCTTCCCTCGGCCGCGCCGCGTGTTCAATAATTGAGCAGCCGGGCAGGCAGTCTCCCTCCCTGCTGCTCGTTTCGTGGAATAGCCATTCGTAGTCGTAAAGCAGGAGCAGAGCAATACCAGTGCATGCCTAAAAGGATAGTGAAATGATATACTTTACACTTCCCCGTCCATAGCTCTGGTAATGTTAGAGACAGAAGCCAACAAATCGTAGCTATCGAGTTCGACAAACGTGTGGCAATGGCAGAATTTAACGTCTCGTTAATTTCGGCTTTCTGTTGGATTGCGGAAGCAAAAGGTTTCAGGGGAAATTTATAACCTATAGTACCCATTAGCACATAAATCAGTAACAGACAGCGGCGAACCGGTTTAGATGATACCAGCACTAAACCTAGCATGGGCCTGGAAAAGAAGAACTGTAAAAACAAAGATCTCGATGGGACCGACATTGGTAGGGCCAGCGCATTCCAGGCTCACGTGGTCTCAACTTATATTTCAATTCGCAGGCAAGGCGCAAGCTGCCTGTTCTTTTAGGTACCAATATCTCAAAGACTCCTCAGACACATGAATGTGACCCCTCTCCCTCCCCAGCTTAGCTACACAGCACGCGCCAAGCCCTGGCACACCCCGCCCACAATCGCCCCACGCACCCCCACGCTGACCCAGAGTCAGACGGCGCGGTCAGACCACTCCGACTCAGCTCAGACAGCAGCGCCCACTCAGCGGGATTGTGAGGACCTCTCAGATGTGACCGGACACCACGCAGAGGTACCCGACACCGGGCGGCCGATCAGAGGGCTACACGGGCTCGTCAGCACTTCTCTGAGACAATACTTGTTCTAAACTTTACTTGCGTACGACTTGTACGCATGGGAGTGATTGATTGATTAGACCCTGCGAGACCTCGCACGGGTCTTGCAGTGTGACCAGGACATCCATGTTTTCTTTTGTACATTGGAGACTGTGTGACTAGATAAGTGAAACTTTTTTAAATATAAAGGTACTGTATTATAGAAAGCCTTCGCAAACGCGTTTCGATTATATCATCTTCAGTGCTAGCTTCCCATAATACAAAAAGAAAATGGTACAAAAGTTCACAACACATCGCAAATACACACGCAGCAATTTTTTCTCTCACAATATCACGGGTAGAATGTTTTTATATACTTCTGGAATGCAAGACCGCAAATCGCCCCTCCTAAGGTGTAAAAGCCCCCCTTATGGTTCGTACATGGCACACTTTGAATTAATGCCGACTCAAGAATTTTTCTGTGCGATCTCTTCAGACCTGATTTCACCGCACTGGCTTTATCCCACTTAGGTAGGTGACCCTCTGTTTCGGCATGTAACGTAATTGAGTTAGACAAATTATGATTTATCAAATCACGCTTGTGTTCAGTTAC